AGAATTGTACAATTACCCTATATGCCTGTTATAATAGTGATGTAAACTTATATATAGTTTTATCAACATACATGAAAAGGACAATTTGTAAATCAAAATATGAACACTCCTTTTTGTGTATTTTTACAATGCTTCTCGGTGTCTTTTAACAATGAAGAGAGTATTATTATACTTAGTGTTTCTCTTTTGCCTATTTGTTACACCTATTTGTCATTTATGACCTTGTCTGGAATAAGTAAAGCAATTTTGCCATTCAGCAAGATAATCACACAGTGGTCTAAAGGAGCATTAAATATTTTGTTCAGCTTTGCAGTTTGAAAAAAATGATCATTCTGTCACTGTGTGACACCACTGGGAGTTACACAGGATCCAACCAGCAAACAGACCCCACTCCTACTGTAACAGTTTTCTGGGTGCAATGTCTTTCATGGAAGCACCTTGTACGCTGCATTTCATAATCACAGTTAGCTCTGATCAAAGCCCTTGAGTTTTGCGTTTGTTTTTGTTTTTGAGCAATATGTTTAACAATTCAACATGAGCTCACCAGCTTGTCTCTTTTATCCAGACATCCTCAGACATCCTTAACTTACTTTGCTTTTCCTGGCCCCTCTGCCTGCCACGCTCTTCCACCTGTCTTCTTTCACCTTTCCCATCCTTTTTGCCTCAAGTAACTTTGTCATCTCTGCCTCAGGGAAATCCTTCTGGGCCTTCTGCTCACTAGATGAGCCCCCATGTCCCCATACCTTCTCAGGACACTATTATCTCTTCTTTGCACGCCACAGCTGTAACGTCACATTGATTTGTCTGAGCACGCAGTTATGCTGTCTCTGCTTCTGGTGTGTAAGCTCTGTAAGCACAAGGGCTTTGTTTTATTTTATTCACTTGACATCCAATGGAGTGCCTGGCCCAAAGTAGGCAATTACTAAATACACTTAACAAATATTGGTGAATACATGGATGAGAGACAGTGTTATGAAGTAAGCATTTTAGTTTGAAAGTGTATGTTAAAGGATTTACTAGTATGAAAAAAAAAGAATGACATTTTGCCAAGTATCCACTTGTGCCTCTCAAAGTCAGCCATGTGTTCAATGGATTCCACAGACCAGCCCGCATGCCCAAGGGCAGAATGCATGGGGTGTTTTTTAAACAATCAGGAGTACTGCCACGCCGAAGGAGCACTAGATTTCAGCACACATGAGGAAGGCCTTGAGCAAAAGGGAGTTCAGACATTGATTCTCTTTTGCATATTTTTCATTCATCCAAAACCATGGATCAGAGCACTGGATCTGCACTAGAACGTGACAGTGATGGAGGCAGATGCTTTCCCGGCAGTCTCTCGCACCAGTTCTCAGTGTGTGGTTCTGGACTGTTTGCCTCAGCATCACAGGGGTAGTTCTGAAAATGTACCTTCTCAGCCTCCACTAGACAGGCTAAAAGCAAACACTTCAGAGTGAGAGTGGAGAATTCTTAAACTCAAAAAAAGGTCCTTTGTACTCTCACTGCCATTGGAAACCCAGAAAGGGTGTATATGAACCTAGTGTCCATCCCTTCTTCTAGGGCAGGTTAGAACAAAATGGCCCCACATTTTCTCGAGGCTTCACTTAGTTGTATGGTGCCCATTGTTCAACAAGGTGGCATGGTGCCTCATAATTTCTTGGTGTGTCATCTAGTTTCTTACAACAGTTGTCTGCACATGGGTTCCTTGAGGTGCTAGGTCAGGTGACAGCTGATGCAGGGAGATCATAATGGCCCAGGGGACACACAGACATCCCTTAGCTACTGGCTTGAGATGTGTGATCCTGGACGTTTCACCGCACTGCCCTTGGCTAATAAAATGAAGACTAAAATTGTTTTGGGATAGACTGAGAAGACTACCTGGAAACACTGCAAACTTCCTAAAACAACACCAGTTATACAATAGGTACTTAAATAATGTTGATGTTCTTTATTATTATTAATTGGGAAACTGTTAATGTTTTCTAAACTACAAGAGATTCAACTACAAGTCTGCTTTTTTAGGAGACCTTTGGAGAAAAAGTCCCTTTTATCCCAAGTGACAGAGCACACAGAATAAAGGTAGTAAAACTAAGCAAAGGTGTTACTATGTGAAAGGAAATAGTAGGGCAATTTCCACAGCCTTCATCCCTCCTGCTGACAAGCCTAATATACTGGGAGGGCAATTAGAACTTCATATCAGCCACTGTCCCAGCAGGAAATAAAAGTTTATCCGATGGTTCAGTTAAAGAGATTTAATGAAGGTACTCTTTGCAGAGAAGCAAGATTAAGGGCAAGAAGAAGAGATGTTGAGAAACCTGGAGACTTGTACCAGCAGAAATCCGTTACCAGCTCCTTTAGGATGGAGGAGCATGGAAGACATACAGTAGCATATTGGAGCCCAGAGAGAGCTGGCTTTTAGCTGGAGCAGCAGGCATAGTGACACACAGATAATACCAGACTTGTGGAAACAAACAGGGAGGAAATGGAAGAAATACTCTGACCCTTCTTTTCTCCTATCCTCCTCTCTCCTGATAGTGTCCCCTATTGGTTAAACTCAAGCAGAAACCAGCAAGGGCCAAGCTACTTGTGGGGGTGCCAAGATGTTTAGCACAGAACAGAAAGGGGAGAAGGGATGGCAAGGGGAGAAGGACAGCTCACACTCTTTGCTGGCATGTCTATATAAGAATATTCTCTTTCTGAGAGAGCTTTCTTAGTCATACCCTAAGCACAGAACAAGATCACAGCAGATTCTGTTGTAGAGCACAATCTTTGATCCATTTCACCAAAAAAAAACTTGAAAATAATCCAGATTGGAAAAGTGCCAGGTGAGTCAAAATTTGAGTAAAAATCACTGATAGTGCTTTTATCATTATTTTAAAATCTGTCCTGTTTCAAAATATGCTTAAGGTAAACTTATGTTATTATCCCATCTATTCAATTTTCTCTTGAGAAGCTTTATCCCTTTTGCAATTTTTCTTCTACTATATGGACTCAAGAACATGTTTCCTATAGTTAGGCAGGAAATGAGAGAAAGCTAAAAGACAGAAATAATGCATGACTTTTCTTCAGGGTACCTTGGTAATCTATGGTACTCACCTCCAATATTGATTGGAGCATTGTCTCCACTGTGTCTCAACTTCCTTTAATAGTAGCTCATGTTTTTCCTGTTATTAAGAACGCCCTCTCATTTCTTCTTTGCCCATCCAGTTGCTACCCACTCTTTCATGAACCAGCCCAGCTGAAAGTGCCTTGAGGTGAGGCTTTAGGAAGGGAAGAGGGAATTTCTGGTCAAGAAGGAGGCATAAATAGATACACTTTGCCTCCTCATACAACCAAAAGAAGGATAACAACAAATTTAAAAACAAACAAACAAAAAAAATCCCCAGAACTGCCAGAAAATCAAAATGTATGGAAGTCTGACAACCAAGTAGTTAAAGAAGAAACATTCATCCAGACTGGTAGGATGGGTGGAGACAGGAAGCTGGGAGGGAGAGGATGTGTGGTGAGGAAGCAGCTGGAGGAGATAAGGCAATGGCTGGCAGAGTGTATGGTCCCACATTTGCATATGAATAAAATGGGAGGAACAACTGAGGAGTGAGACACACTGCTTAACCCAGGGTTCCAGTGTGGGAAAAGAAAACCTCAAAACCTCTGACTATAAAAATCTATGGGAGTTGTGGCAGTGGGAGAAACTCCCAGTCCCACAGGAGAGTTCGTTGGAGAGACCCACAGGGTCCTAGAACATACAGAAAACCAGCCACTTGGGAATCAGCACCAGAAAGACCCAATTTGCTTATGGCTAGTGGGGGGAGTGACTGAAAGCTGAAGGAGAGCTGAGCAAGATGCATTGTTCCCTCTCAGACCCCTCCCCCATAAGACAGTGACATGGTTGCCTCACCTAGCAAATACCTAATGCTCTGCCCCTTACCATGTAACAGGTTCACTGAGACAAAGAAATATGGCCCAAATGAAAGAACAGATTAAAACTCCCAAAATAGAACTAAGCAATGAAAAGATAGCTAATCTGTCAGATGCAGAGTTCAAAACACTGGTAATGAGGATGCTCACTGAAATGGTTGAGTATGTTTGAAAAATAGAGGAAAATGTGAAGGCTATGCAAAGTATAATAAAGGAAAATGTACAGGGAACCAATAGTGATGGGAAGGAAAATGGGACTCAAATCAATGGAGTGAACCAGAAGGAAGGAATACCCAATCAGAAAAGAATGAAGAAATAAGAATTCAAAAAAATAAGGAGGGGGTTAGGAACCTTCAAGACAACTTTAAACGTTCCAACATCCAAATACTAGAGGTGCCAGAAGGAGAAGAGGAAGAGCAAGAAATTGAAAACTTATTTGAACAAATAATGAAGGAGAACTTCTCCAATCTGGCAAAGAAAATAGACTTCCAGGAAGTCCAGGAAGCTCAGAGAGCCCCAAAGAAGTTGGACCCAAGGAAGCACACACCAAGGCACATCATAATTACATTACCCAAGATTAAAGATAAGGAGCGAATCTTCAAAGCAGCAAGAGAAAAGGAGACAGTCACCTACAAAGGAGTTCCCATAATATTATCAGCTGATTTCTCAAAAGAAAATTTGCAGGCAAGAAGGGGCTGGAAAGTATTCCAAGTCATGAAGAAGGCAAGGACATACAACCTAAATTACTCTATCAAGCAAAGCTATCATTTAGAATGGAAGGGCAGATAAAGTGCTTCCCAGATAAGGTCAAGTTAAAGGAGCTCATCATCACCAAGCCTTTATTATATGAAATGTTAAAGTGACTTATCTAAGAAAAAGAAGGTAAAATATATGAACAGTATTTTTTGACAACAAACTCACAACTATCAACAACTGAATCCAGAAACAAAAAGAAAAACAAATTAAGCAAACAACTAGAACAGGAACAGAATCACAGAAATGGAGAACACATGGCGGGTTATCAGTGTGGAGGGGGCAGGGGAAGAATGGGGGAAAATGTTCAGGGAATAAGAAGCATAAATAGGATCCTCTCGTAATTCATAGGTGTGATGATTGGGTGTTCACACTCTTGTGTGACATGTGCCTCCCACAAACCTTGTATGACATCAGCACATCATTACCTGTCTGACATGAAAAAAAAAGAAGCATAAATGGTAGGTACAAAATAGACAGGGGGAAGTTAAGTATAGTACAGGAAATGAATGACCTATGGACAGGAACTAAGGGGCCTGGGGATGCTGGTGGGAAGGGCAGTGCAGGGTGGAGAGGAACAAAGAGGAGAAAATAAATGGGACAACTGTAATAGCATAATCAATAAAATATACTTTAAAAAGAAGGAAGGAAAGAGGGAAGGGAGCTGGCATTATTGAGTACCAAGGAATGGTATGATTGTTGTCTCAATATGTCCTCATACCCATCCTGAAATTGATGTTATCCCCTCACTTGATTTCTGAGAATGGTGAAGTTCAGCAAGACTAAGGAATTTGGTCAAGATCACATGCTTCTAAGCAGCTAGTTTCAAATTCAGTTCCACATCTGGACAGTACTGTCTGCTACCTCCCTTGCCTATAGGAGGCCTGAAGCTAATCTCTAAGTAAACAAGCATTTATTTACTCATATAGCTTGAGACCCTTTCCAACCTCCAATAACTAATCCAAGGCCATTAGTTTCTTTGTAAACATTTGACAGTAATACATGCCTGAACGTGATATTCAGGCAGTTTTCATTTTTTAAATAAGGTAAAGGATTTGTGATTATTTTTCTAAAATGATATAATGGAAGAATGGTTAATTTTGTTCATATTTAAACCTACTAATGAGTTGTTAGGATTTATTTCAAGTGATTTGGCAGTCACAGTTCAGAAAAGTAATTCCACATAATTCTATTACCAATGCCATTTTCTTAGACTTTAATGGGCTACGCCTGATTTTTAAAGTCTGTCTATTTTAGGGCCTTGGTTGGCACCAGCAGCTAGTACTTTCTTCACATTGGAGTGAAACTGGCTCTGTGGAAGCAGGTGGGTTGCAGCTGTGCCTCCCGCTGGGGTCTGGGGGGTGGGAGAGCCAGCCCTACAGGCTGCCTGTTGGAAATGAGTCATTTCAGGCCTTCTTCTGGAGAAACTCACACCAGGCTGCACCCGCACCAGACAAGAAGTTACCAAATCCTACCAGTCCGTCAGACATACTCTGAGATCTTTACCCACTGTGGTTAAGGATTTTTTTCTTTTAAGCTGCCCGAGGTGATGATGACTCATTGCAAGGTTAATGCATTTCACCTTTCACCAAAGCTACAGCCAAAATATTTTTCCACCTTTATGACTCACCCTTTTCCCAGGCCTTTTAAATTAATAGGAGTTTAAAGAAAATATACAGGGGAGGCTGAGGCAGTGCCCATCATCTGCCTGAGGAGCACGAATACATCCCAGCAGTAACCTGGAGCTTCCCATGTTTTCCAGGTTCAGGTTTAACTTGGACTTCTGGACTCCAAAGGGTTCCAATGGAAAATGCACTCTTAACTTTTAGAAAGATGCCTTTTCAGTTTTAAAGTTATAGAATTTTTCTAATTACTGTGAAACACGAGTCTACTTGATTAAAAAAAAGCATATCCATTATGAATCAACCAGGGATCATTTTTAAATATGGTGGATCAGTGAATCCAAACCTTTACAGGGCCTTTTGACGTCCACTCTAATCTGTCTGGGCTGTGTGTGCCTCCGTAAACTGGTCTCCTACCAGTTTCCTGTGCTTATTTTTTTCACTACTTAGCTCATGATTGATGTATTTCATTACTTCTAGAAAATTCTCAACCTTCATTTCTTTGAGAAAATTTTTTCCTCTCTTTCTTTTTTCTCCATTACTTCTGTACCTGGAGCTCCTATTAGATATATATTGGACCTTTTCACTGTCTTCCCCAGTCTCTCTGTCTTTCACATTTTCCATCTCTTTTTGTTCTGCATTCTGGGTAAGTTCTTTGAATCTATATTACAATTTTGACAGAGTCTAAACTGCTCTTGAAATTTCCCAGTGAATTTTTTAAACAACTTTATGGAAATATAATTTACATGTATAATTTACACAGTGCATATAATTTACATATATAAATTCAGCCATTTTAAATTTAGAGTTCGATGACTTTTAGTAAATTTATCTAGTTGTGAAATGATCACCATAATCCAGCTTTAGAACACTTCTACTTCCCCATAAAATGGCTCATGACCATTTATGGTTGATTACTATCTCCACTGTCAGCCCTAGGAAACCACTAATCTTTTCTGTTTCTCTAGATATGCATTCTATGGGCATCTCATGTAAATGGTCTTACATACAGTATGTGGTCTTTTGTGTTTGGTTACTGTCATTTAGTATATGTTTTTGAAGTTCACTTATGTTGTAGCATATTTCAGTAGTTTTTTTTTATTGTCAAATGGAATTCCATCGCATGGATGTACCACTGTTGTTTATCCATTCATCTGTTATCCAGAGACTGAACTTTCAATGTCAAAGACTTTACATTTTCAATAAGTTCTATCTAATTCTATTTCAAGTTATATTGGACAATTATATTTGATCTAGTTTTTTCTTATAATTGCTCCATGATTTCATTTTAATTTTCTAGGTGGTTTCTAATAATTCCATAGTGTGACAGTCTGAAGGGTCTGAATTTCATGTTTTTGCTTATGTGATTCTCTCTGTGTTTCTTCTTACATTTGCTTTTACTCCAATTTTTGGGAATCTTATTTGGTCTGGATTGAGGGTTTCCTGGTTGGTCCCCAGGACAACCCTTTTTCAGGTTAATTTTATAGTTTGGAGTTTCCTGGACTATGCTGGTAGTGTAAAAATGAAAATCAAACCAGCAGAAGTGCAGCCGTGTGCTTAAAAATTTTCACAATGGACTTTTTTTCTCTCAAGTGTGAGGGCAGGAGGTGACAGAGATGTTTCCTTACATTCTGTTTTTTCTAGTTTGTTCTAACCACACAAACCCATGGTTTCCAATGAGGCTTCTTCTTGGATTGGCATAAATCTGGGTATGAAGGGGAATTGCAGCATGGAGGAGAATATTTTTTGGAATTCATAACACTTACTTCCTTAACTTGCTAACATTTTTTTTTGTGAAAATAATGCTTGATTGCCTAGGGAGATTTTAGAGAAATTATTGGCTACGTACAAAAACTAAAAAATATGAATTAATTTTAATTCCATAATAGGTCCCTGTGGTTGCTATCTACGTTAAAGAAAGAATTAGAAGAAGGAAAACATTTCATTCTATTCACCAAACATCATAGTTAATACTATTTTGACATGAAATCTTTGTTTACCTAGTGCACTAAGTGTAACAGATTTGTCAAACTAGCTCTTCCTACTGGAAGTCCTGATTTAAACCTACTTTAAATCAACTTTAGTTGGCTTTATATCCTCACCCACAATGATTTTAATTCTTCAGAAATAATTACTTGGCTTTCCACTCAAGCTGTACCTTTATCTGTGGCTTTTAAAAATGTTGTCAAAGCTATCAGTACTACTATACCATCTAGACAAGAAAGCTCAGAGAGAAAAGAGTGTGTTGATTGGATCTTTAAGATTTAGGAATTTTTACATCAACCATCTGAAGCTATTTTCTTGAGCAACTGAGCTGGTTTGTTGATTCCTTCTTAAACTCTGTAACTTTTCAAAGTCAAAGTTGGGCTAAGAGGGACAGATACAAATACATTATCTGACTCTGATGGGAAGGGATGAGGTTAATCCTTAATTTCTTCTTGTTCTTAATAATCACTTTTTATTCTTAATAACTTCCTAAGCTTGGAGTCTAAGCAAGTTTTAGTGGACAATATGTTTTGTTATTTTTCTCAAAGTGAAAAAGGTTTTATTTTAGTTATGGTTGTTAAAATAATATATTCAAACTGTTAAAAATTGTATTAATTACAGCAAAATATAAAGTTAAAACTATCTCAGTTTGGGTCACTTTGCAATAAATAGTGTTAACATTTTAGGGTATATCCTCTTAGGTTTTTTCCTAGGCAATACAGACATGAATATGTAATATGCTTATAGATTATAGTTAAAAATGGTACCATAGTATATATTGGATATACATAGTATTTTTTTCACTCTGTGCTAGCTCATGCATATTCTTTAATATCTGAGTAGGAGATCCTTATCATATTTGGAAGTAGCCCATAGAATTCCCTAGATTTTATAAATGAACTTTAACCAGTTTTCTCTCAGTAGATCTGTACTTTTTCTCTATTACTAATATGACATATAGTTTGTGTGTCTTATTTTTTATCCACAGACAGTTTATATTCGGTGGAACCTAACAAATTATTTGTTGCCTTGAATTCTTTTCCCCTTATAAATAAATGTAAGCATCCCCAGGCAATCACTCATGATCTACCCCTTTTACAAAGCTTGTCCTGTTGTTTTGGGGATCAGCAGGAAGGGATATAGATCTGGGTGCCACTGTCACTACTGCATCTTACAGCTAATCAAATTATTCTTCCTCTTCCTTACTAGAATATACATGTTCATCCACAGGCACACACACACACTGTGTACAGGCACACCCATCCATGCTTATAAACATTTTAGAAAAATGAAGTTCTCCTTGACAACACTGATCAACTACATCCCGAAATACGCTCATTTTAACATTTTATAGATACTTCCCCATTTCAGTCATTTGGAAAGTGTGTGCCAACTACCAATTTCAAATGTGAAAAACAATTTGAGTGTTCTGAAAAAACAACAAATGGAAACACTAGCATTATAACTAAAACTCATTTTAGCTTAGCTTTTCAGAAAATAATTTCATCTGGAAAAAATAATCTTTCAAGTTTTTCATTTTAGGGATGCAGGTATTTAGTGCCGTTGTTAGGGGGAAATATAGTGACACAAAATACTGGGTTGGCCAAAAAGTTCATTGGTTGTTTCCATAAGATGGCTCTAGCAGCGCCTAGTTGTCTTCAACTTCATGTGAAACAATTTTGTTAGATTGCATTGTGACAACTGCCATATCAGCATGCATTTAAAACAAATCAAAATCAGTGAGTTTTTGTGTAGCCATTTTAATATTGAATATCGAAGAAAATATGCAACATTTTGGCATATTATGCTTTATTATTTCAAGAAAGGTAA